TTAGTCACTGCAAATTTCTGTTTTTTTTTTATTTGGCTGATTCTGTTATTTTATTTTATTCTTTTTTTTTGGTGGGAGTAGATAAGTTCTTTAATCTTTCTTTACTAGTTTTCGGTGGACGGCTAGGAGATCGCTGTGACCTTTGCTTTGTAGGATATTTTATATTTTTGGAAGAGAGGTTTGTGTTAGAGTGGTAGATTTTGTATATGTTTTTTTTCTTTATTTATTATTTCAATGCTTTCATTGTCTTCCTTTTAAGGTTTAGTCTGCACTATCTCCTTGGAGTAGATATCCTTCAAGTAATTTTGAAATTTGGGCCAGTCATTTGGTCCTAAGCGTACAAGCTTCTCAATGAGAGTTCTGTATTTGTCAGGTTGACTGGTATTCGATGTTATCATTCTTTCCGATATGTTTCCATAGGAAGATACTTTCATGCAGTTTTCTATAATTCGCCTTTTCTCCAAGAATGAGACATTTTGTTTATGTTTCATTCGACTATGTCTTTTTCCCTTTCCCAGAAATCACAAGATCGGGAGTAAGCTGAATTGTTTTCCTGGCAATTAGCACATCTTACTTCATAGGGACATTCTTCTTCCGTGTGGTCTGAATCCATTTTTCCGTTAAACCATTTGTTGCAGTTCCCAAATAAGTATATAGTTACAGGCGCTAGGGTTTGGCATGACCAGTCGATTGATCAGACCAAGCCTCTCTTGTCCAAGTAAGGGAAAAAAGGCATGTTGGGAATCAGAAGTTTCTAACCTTGACTCTTGAAGCCCTCAGCCACTATAATCTCATTTCTTGTCAATTACAAGTCGGTCGCCATTCACGACAAAAAGGGGTCACCCGCCAGCAGAGGTACAGTCAGCGTATTCTGAAGTCCCAGCCGACAGTGGTTGAAATTAGAGAGTTTCAGGATTACAGAATTGGTATAAATTCGTTTTAACCCCAAGTATGGTTATTTTTTAAACGTAGCTTAGATTAGGCCCATATTCTACAAGCGGGACGACACCTGCAGCTATCCCTATCAGGCCCAAATTTTTGGGCACTTGAAGCACCTCAGTGTACCAGATATTGTTCCATAGTCTCAGTAGTGCACACGCTCTTTATTTTCATGTTATTCGAGATGTGAGAAAAGTAAGGAAATACGTGTCTGTTGTTATAGTTTCTCTTTTCCTTTTATCATTAACTAGCAGTAGAACCCGACGTTGCCCGGGGATGTAACAGTAAGAGATAGATCAAGTATCGACCATCATAAAGACTGAAAAATAAAATTGACAAAGATTATTGTTTAAGGTTGACGGACACGCATGTCTTAATGTCTAGAGTTTTTTTTTTTTTTGGGTTTTTTTTAAGGAATTGGTCAAACCCAAACTCAAACAAAAACATTGTTTTCAATCGTTATGAGTCTACCGATTGAATAGAATGTTATAAACAATTGTCTTGTAAAGTGATTTTTTAAAGACAATAAGAAACAGTACCTGTCAAAAAAAAAGTGAAGTTTTGTTGAAATCGGTTGAAAAAAATGTAGGAAATCCGATCCCATATATAAACGAACACAGACACACACACATCCTGGGTTTTATAATAAGTATAACCCGATATGAATTGTCCCCCTTTCATTCTCGACAGCAATGCCTCTTAATCGTGTTTTCAAATTGATTTCGTGCAAAAACAATTGTGTTTTTCCAATTTTTGGCGCTGTCAGAACCACCACAAGGTAATTTTACGTAGTCCTGTGAAGTGTTGTTGAAATCGGTTGGAAAATGTAGGAAATCCGATCCAATATATAAACGAAACTGACAAACACACACACACAACCTGGGTTTTATAATAAGTAGGATTACTGACTCCCTGGCTTCCTAAGGCAGATGTTATTTCCTCAGGTGTGGCCAAAGAAAACTCTCTGCTCCTAATAACTCCCTTAGAAGTGTTCGGTCTTTCGTAGAAGAAGGTTTTTATTTTGATGTTATGGAAAGTCTTCATCTTGATTAGATGTTCTGAGTGTTTTCTATTTTCTATTTCTACTGGTAAATTACCATTTCTAAATTTCTTAACTGTTTTAGGGTTAACCCTACTGTACAGTACTTTTTAAATCAAGAAAAGGGAATGTTTTGCTAGAGGAATTTCATCTAGTGACGCGAACACAAGACATTTCTTGGAAATTCATTATTTAATTCTTTTTCAGAATCAGGATTTGAAAGATATCTTTTGGTATTTTTATTTTGACTATTTCTAATTTGATGTAGAAAAACATCACTGCCTGTGTCCACATCCACCTTGGTACTCAGCATTGGGACATTTCAAGGGGAAAACCCAGTTGTCTTGAAAGGTTAAGGCTACTCAAACTAGTGTACCCGGATTCAAAAGAGGCCCTGATTACCCGTTAAAACATTTTTTGTACTTCTCAAATAAGGGTACAAACTGGTATGTTTATAGTCATGTCTAAGTCTAGATCTCTCCAACCATCGCTTTCTAACGCCTATAAATTGGATAGAGAGGCACCTCGGCGTGGTGTAATGGTTAGCAAAGCTTGTCTCGCTAGATCAGTTACAACTGAAAAGTGAGTTCGATCCTCACTAGATGCCCCATACTTTCGGTCTTGTGCCACATCTAAGCTATGCTTGGAAAATAACTATAAATTGGATAGAGATGGTATTTTATTTCAGTGTAGTTTTGGGGTATTTTGTTATAAAGTAGTCCATAAATTGATATAGTTATAGGCGCTAGGGCTTGGCATAAGCAGCCAGTTAATCGAATAGTGCCTCTCTTGTCAAGTAAGGGCCAAAAAGTGTGTTGGGAATCAGAAGTATCTAACCGTGACTCCTAAAGCCCTCCATTATCATGATTCCGTTTGCAGTCATTACGTGTCGGTTGCCATCCACGGCAAACAGGTGGCCTCATTTGATAGGTCTTACCCGTCTGCAGAGTTGCAGTTAGAGTATCAGGGTGGTTGAAATTAGAGAGTTTCAGGATTCCAGAATTGAACTAAATTCGTCTTAACTACAAGTATGAGGATTTTCTAAGCTTAGCTCTAGCACAAGGATGAATATGCTGGGCATCCAGTGAGGATCAAACTCACTATTCAGTCGTAATTGTTCTAGAGTGATAATCTGGCTAGCCATTACACCGCGCCCAAGTTCCCAAGTTCCAAGGTCGTTTGAATGTAATCAAAACTCGCCTATATGTAATCCATTTATTCATAGATCACCATTTATAGGTAGTTGTTTTATCTATCCTCTTTGGTAGGAATGTCATTAGAATCGTGTTCAAATGAATGTTATAAGTGACAAGTTTAATTTGACGTCAAGTCAAGTGTATCAACTCAAAATAATTCAATCTTGTGACGTATTTTTATTGTTTTGTTTTTTATTTTGTTTTGATTGTTTTTTCCAGAGTCTAAATTCTTTTTCCTTTTATTGTAATTTCTCGGATGTTAACGTCAAATACACCGGGCAGTTGCGCCTGAAAATAACCTCCAAGGAGTGGTTAACTGAGCCAGAAAATTGCTTGTAAATTTTAATGTCTCCAAAACAAAACTGGTTTCATTTAACCAGTATAGAGAACTTTTTCTATTGCCATCAGCATAGCTGTCGATAGACTGCAGGAAAGCAAAACACCGCGTCTTCTTGGCATCACGTTTTCCAGTGATTTGTATTGGAGCGACTACATCGAATTAATAGCTGTATCTATTGCAAGGAAAGTTGCGTCATAGTGTCGTACCAGAAAGGTTTTCTCGTTAGAATCCATCTTTCACATTTACAAGTCTTTCGTCCGTACATTGAATACTGTTGCTACATCTGGTCTGGTGCTCTAGCTGTACATCTTGAGATTTTTTTTTAAAATCCAAAGAAAGATCTTCACTGTAATTGATCCGAACTTGACATCACAACTTTAGTCACTTTCTCACCGACGTGACCTGGCTTTTTCTACAAATATTTTCTGACGAGATTTTTGCCCTGAATATATGAATTTAAGCGTAATAGTAGATTCGCATGTAGTTTCCACCTTTTTACTTTTGAAATAGCTAAATGCAACCGCTACTTCTACTCCAACGGTTTCTTTTCTGACACTTCCCACCTGTGGAACTCCCTTCCGTTTCTTTGCTTCCCTGATAACTACAATCTTCAAAAATTTAAATGCAACGCCAATAGCCATCTACTTTCTTCCTGAATCTCGTTCATCTTTACCCTTTCCTCAATTCTCTCTATTCTCAGTCTTTTGCACTTTCACTCCCCGTACCCCAACTTGCGTACTAGTGGCATTGTCGTCTTGATTGGGGTCAAATGATTAAAAAAAATGACAGCAATATTTAAAATGAAGTTGAACTCGGGAATTTATTTAAAAAGTACTCAGTTCTTTTCAAATTCCTTTCCCCAATTGATCATTACCAGCTTTACGCACCATATATCACAATACCAAGTATCAGTTTTCAAAAAAAAAATTCTCCTAATTATCAGAAAATCATGATCTAGACCTTTATTATATTGGATGCGAAAACCCTAAAGAAATTTAAATGTATTAAATTTATTTTGTATCTTCACTGCAGATAATAACTCATCTGATTACTACCCTTTTTTTTAGAAATTTTCTTTTCTTTTTAAGAAGTTTTCTTTTAATTTTTCTCTTAATTAATAACATTATATTAATATACGAATAACGTTAACACAGTTCAATAAATGAACTGCAAATCATTCTTAGGATCAAAAGCCACAAATAACTGCTTGACTCTAATGTGCAAGCCTACTTTTTATTAATAGGCTATGGGTAGAAATAAGTAATACGGAATTTTTATAAGCCTTTAACTAATGCCAGATTTTTTATGGACCTAAAGTTAAAACCTGATTGTTATTTTCATTATTTTCGGTGGGCAATAAATATGACTAGCTGAACACACACGAAGTCGAGTTGGTCCGAAATAATATTATTGGAGTCAGTAGTGTCGCCTTTTTTTTAATGGCCCCAAATTTTTAAGTTGATTGTTCAAAGCGGCAAAAATAACTTCAGCGAAGGGGTAGTAAATAATAAAGACATATATGAAAAAGGGGATCAAGTGGCACTTTTTCGGCAACCAGATGTTTCCGTTTGAAGCCGTATATAACTACAGTCTCGGTTAAGGCTGCACCCCGAGGCAAGAGCAGTCTGTTCAAACGGTCACGTCGTCAGAAAGTAAGAAGAAAAGTTGAAGGGAGTTAAGTGTCACGTACGTACTACCAGAGAGAATACAAGGTCCGAAGGGGGCGCTCATTGAAATAAACACTAACTAAATTTTTTATTTATTTATTTATTTTTTTTTTTGTGAATGGATATGGGTCTCTTCTGATAGTGTATTTGTACACACCGGCAGAGGTACGGTGAAGTAATGGATAGCGGCTCGTATTGAGGAATTGGTGAGCCGAGTTCGAATTACATTACATTCACTTACGTGCTAATACTCTTAAGAAAGGTATGAATCCTCTTCTTTTCTCCCAGCTATGGGTAAATAGCCGGACAGACTGCTGTAGACCAGTTGCCTTGGATGGCAACTGGTCTGCCGCAGAATGAAATGGCAAAAATCTGCCTCGTCAGTCATGTATGGAAAGATACGTGATCACCTAAACGTGACGGACACACAGGCGCGAACGATAAGCAGAAAAAACGTTACCGGGTCGGGTAGGACGGGGTGGGTTGTATGTTCTTAACGGAAACAAGTATCATATAATAATTCCGCTTGGGACACCCGGAGGTGGTGTAATAGTTAGAAAACTTGTCTCGCTAGAACAATTACGACTGAATAGTGAGTTCGATCCACACTGGGTGCCCCATACTTTCGGCCTTGTGCCACATCTAAGCTACGCTTGGAAAATCAGAGCACCTCGAGGCGACGTAATGGTTAGCAAGCTTGTCTCGCTAGAACAATTACGACTGAGTAGTGAGTTCAATCGTCACTGGGTGCCCCATACTTTCGGCCTTGTGCCACATCTAAGCTACGCTTGGAAAATTGCTATAATAATTCCACTTGTCCCTACCTTCATTAGTTAATTCCTTAGTTAGTTCGCACGAATGTTACACCCTGAAATACCTCATAAATAATGGACTATTCCGTTTTCATCGGGGGAAAACACAGACATATTGGAGATGATACTTGGTTTAAGAAAGATAGATAGATAGATAGATAGATAGATAGATAGATATTGAATAGACTGAGATAGATAGATAGATAGATAGATAGATAGATAGATAGATAGATAGATATTGAATAGACTCAGATAGATAGATATTGAATAGACTGAGATAGATAGATAGATAGATAGATAGATAGATAGATAGATATTGAATAAACTGAGATAGATAGATAGATAGATATTGAATAGACTCAGATAGATAGATATTGAATAGACTGAGATAGATAGATAGATAGATAGATAGATAGATAGATAGATAGATAGATATTGAATAGACTGAGATAGATAGATAGATAGATAGATAGATAGATAGATAGATAGATAGATAGATAGATAGTTAGATAGATAGAAAGAAGTGTTTAAAGTCTGTTTCAGTGAAATGAAAAAGTTGCCAATTACAAATGTTTTCATCATTGTTATTGCAATATTTTAACGATGCGATAGTGGAATTTCTACGGATATTTAATTGTCGTGGAAATCACCACAAGCTTATGCAATCATTAATTTAATAATTAAAATTTATACGAAAATTCAAATAGGAAATCCGTGAAATTTCCACGGCTCTTTCGAGTCATAATAAATGATCTAGCATGCAATCCGCGTAAGGTAACCCCGAAAAATATGGAATTCCCCACCGGATTCTTCTGGTAGGTTGGCAGAGGAGGAAGTGGGTTTTTTTCCCCGTTGGATGGATACTGCAGATGTAGTATCTGTTCCGTACCAGAAGCCTTCTCTCCCCTTGTGCTCCTTCTACCGTTGAGCGACCTCAGTTACGTAGCAGTGGTCTTCTTTCCTCCTTGGCGTTCTCACCCTAACATTGCGTGACATCTGTTACGTAGCGGTAGTATGACCAGCTTAGACAAGCTTTGACCAGCTTAGACAAGCTTTGACCAGCTTAGACCAGTTATGACCATCGAAGACCAGCTTAGACAAGCTAAAACCAGCGTCCGGAGAAGAAACACTCCGGTCCCTACGTTAAAAAGCAACCTTGTGTCACAACCAGGCTCAGTGGGGGTTAAGTAAGTCTCGGGATTTCCCCTGGGATTCTCCTGGAGGGGTTGACAGAGGAAGAGATAGGTTTTTCCCCCCTCGGGATGCATGCTGCGGATATAGTATCTGTTCCGTGCCGGAGGCATTCTTTCCCCTTGTGTTTCTCCCACCGTTGCGTGACATCAGTTACGAAGCGGTGGTATTACCGGCTATGACTAGTTTAGACAAGCTTTGACCAGCTTAGGCAAGCTAATACCAGCGGCCCGAGTGGAAACACTTGGGTCCCACTTTAAAAACTGACCTTGTATCAAAACCTGACTCATTGGTGGCGTCAAGGTACATCTCTGAAACACCGAAAAGTTTGAATAGATTGTAATGTTAACTAGACTTTTTTTTTTATTCAGGGTGAAGTTGATTAGTGATTATCTCAATATATAATGGGGTCACCTTAAACGACATCCAAAAAAGCCTGTGCACTCACTTTAAAGAAGTCAGGTGCATCAAAAGGTTGATTTGGAAGGTGGATTCCCAGCTACCGCTGTAGATTCGTGTCTCACAGGATGTCGGTGGCTGCCTCCGACATGTATAGAGGTGGTCAATCCAGCTGCGCTTTGGTTGTACCTGCATAGACTAGCCGATTAACAGGAAGACACATAATCATTCCACCCGTGAAGAAAAACATAGAAAAACTAACATCCACGCGAAAAGAATGAAAGTTTGTAGAAAGCTACTATCAGAAGCCTCACAAGCCTTTCAGCGATATTAACTGACGATGTCTGGAGGGGAATGAAGAATGAGTTCATGTATCGTAGATTTAACTACGTCTTTTTAATATTCATTTTAACGTTAATGTTACTAAGAAACTAGTATGTACAGACATCAGCAAGGCAGGTTGGGCTTTTAAAACTGATTTGTAATCAGTCAAGGAGAAGAACAATTATGAATTCGAAAATCTGTGTCCCGGCTACAAAATCACGGGTTGCCTTTTGACAAGGCATAGCACGCGAAAGTCGCCCTTGCTAAATGTACGGTTAACATATCGGCAGCAGGATGTTCGACGTGGTTAATTGCAGAATGTAACAGACAAGAATTTTGGCTCTGGGTCCAAATAACGAGTAGCCGTTTCGCAAGGCACAGCACTAGGAGCGGTTTCCTGTCACCATTACGGTGAAGACAGTGGTAGCAGGATGTTAGAATGTGGTCAGTGGCCGAATCTAACAGACGAGATTCATGGCCCTGGGACCAAATAACGGGTTGCCTTTGATAAGACATAGAACTTGGAATCTGTCCCTGTCAGGATTACACTGAAGACGTCTGCAGCATGGTTTGGATATGGTCAGTTTCTGAATCTAAAAGAGATATGTAACACTGAACTGCAATGGCATCATGCAAAAAATATTCTTTATATTTTACATTCGATACGACCTAACCATTCCGAATCAGATGGATACTGCGGAAACACATAGAGTAGTTATCGCCATGGACCTCCAATATATGTACAACAGAAACCCGTATGAAGGCACATGTTTGGTATCCCGATGGGCGACCTAGTGGGATGGCACGTAAATATAGACAAACGTAAACTTCTATATGAATGTATTAAACTCAGCCCATTAAAGAACTACGGACAATTGAGTTTATAGGTTTTTTTTTTACAGGCAGTAGGCTTTTAACATTCTACCTACACTAGCAGCTGTATTGCTAAAGCTAGTAAAGGATTTTAGACGTGTAGTTTACACCGAGATCAATGTAGACGACTCAGCTTTACGTGGATTCTTTTTTTCTTCGTATATAAAAGTTTGCTTTTTAAATAAACTGACATCATGTTATCGAATTCCTCTGAGTTTTCACGTCCATTTCACAAGCGCATCAACTTTGTCCGTTTCGTCTCCACTAAACCTATCCGATCACAGTTTGGTTAGCTTTGTTTCTATATTTGTTCGAAGCAAAGATGCAACTGTCTGATGTATGTTTGCTTTAATGTCTAGTGTTCTATTTGTACTAAGTTTTTTTTTTCTTGAAGAGATATTTGTCTACCTACAGTTTCTAAAATTCCCTTTTCTTTGCTAAGAGAAGTGACGAGAAAAAATTACATATCGTCTTATATTTATACCTTCACTATTGTGAAATATCAAGTACTCTGTATACCAACGGATTTACTGTCATGTTATTTTTAATTATTATGACAGTTATCATTCAAATTTACTTCATGGGATTGCCAATACTTATTCGTGTGGATCTTTGCGGACGTTGGACAAACACACACACATACACACACACACACACACACACACACACACACACACACACACATATATATATATATATATATATATATATATATAGAGAGAGAGAGAGAGAGAGAGAGTAAGGGTGACACATACATATGCATATACACCAGAACACTGGTTTACATACAGGCACACAGATTTCACAGATTATCACACATACAATGTTACATAGATGCACAAAACCACACAGGCATGCAGACGCACGCGTAGAGAGACATACAAAACACATACACATTGGGCACTTCGACGTGGTGTAATGGTTAGCAAGCTTGTCTTGCTAGAACGACTACGACTGAGTAGTGAGTTCGATCCTCACTGGGTGCCCTATACTTTCGGCCTTGAGCCACATCTAAGCTGCACTTGGAAAATCTCTTCAAAACATACGCACAAACTGACATACAGACATGCAGTCCCTCACACAAACCTTCACAGACATGCAAACTCAACGTTATAAAAGATATATATATAGTCATCCACAGACAGACTATTTCGCTGTATCACAGCTATTCAGTGTAGTTAGACGTCCAGTTGCCTCTAGCTCGGAACGAAACCCGGCTGAATTTACGACAGTCAGAAATTCTACCCCTAAGTTATATATATATATATAAAATACTTAATTAAAAAAAATATCTGATTGGCAGGAAATTTACCGCGGTGTGTAGTACGTTAATCTTATTTAGAAACCGCGAGAACTTTACTACCAACCCGAATAAAAATAGCAACTCATCATTTAGAATACGATGAAAAAAACTTTGAATCTTGACAATGAATTCATTTGTAGGCTGGGATCATTTAATACAAACGATATAAACTCTTGATAGCTTGTAGACTTAAATTAATCCTTTAATTAGAGAAAAGGTGTTTCAAGATACAATACTCGCAATGTGTCTATTATTATTTAACAAAGGTCTTAAAGGAGCAAATACATTATCTATCTATCTATTTATCTATCTAAAGTCTGTTTAGCGAGATCTATCTATCTATCTATCTAAAGTCAGTTTAGCGAGATCTATCTAAAGCCTGTTTAGCGAGATCTATCTATCTATCTAAAGTCAGTTTAGCGAGATCTATCTAAAGCGTGTTTAGCGAGATCTATCTATCTATCTATCTATCTATCTATCTATCTGGATTAAGGGAAAAGGAAACTTAATATAGAATAGGCTGAGCCAGAGGCATTTTCGACCAACAACGAAAATTGCAGCAAAACCAAAACTTTAACCTGAGAACTCGAGCCATTTACATCAGTTGACTCATTAGATCAAGAATTTCATGTGGACATCATGCATGGCGCTAATTCCAATTAGAAATATCTAAACTGTCAATTGTAGACAATCAGTTCTCAGCACAATGTATAAAAAAGGGGCTTTGAGCCTGGCAAATGTGTGTGTATATGTCGACATGTATTATTGATGAATATTTAAATATTGAAGCGCAGAATTTCACTGTTTACATCATTGAGTTGTCATGAATAAAAGTTTCAGTTCGTCTGGTGCGTGGCAAGTCGAATTTTTACATGAGAGCATTTCCATTTGAGTTTTTTTTTCTCACAACAGTAAAACATTCTAAAGTCAAATGAGAAAAAAGAATTGCAGAGACTACTTATTGCACCGTAGAGTTAGTTTTTTTTAGCAGATTTCGAAATAAAAGCAAAGTAAAAGAACGAATGCATTTGTAAAGATTACCATCATATACGACATAGACACGAGGAAAAGTGAAGAAGTTATATTATGAAAGAGCGACTAAATCTGACTACGCATGCGCGTATGTTAAACATATGCGTATGCATGTGTTGTGCGTGTGTAAATTACAAGTACTTGTGCCATATACTCACGCGCACACATATACACACAATTTTCAATATGTTTGAATATGACGTTAGAATGATATATTCCCCTCCTACTGAGACATGGAAAAAAAGTTAATTTCTTAAACATTAAATATCAGATAATTATAAAATTACATTGAATTAAAAAAAAAAAATTCGTTTGCTAATGAATTGAAATATTTTTTTTAAAAAACTTTCTCAATTTTGTAGAAATATTTTAGGTCTGTTATTAAATTAACACGTACGATATAAATTAAATTTAAACAGACATTTGTGTCGAGAATATTAATTTCTCTTTATCTCGTAACAACCACTGGATAACAGGAAATGTTTATAAACCAGCACATTGAACTCATTTTAATGACTCGTCTATACTTAATATGAATATATTTCCTAGTATGTGCAGCATAAACGTAAGCATCCTGATCTGGCATCTCGTCTACACTCGCTTTCACACAGACGTACCGTTGCCGCCCTCTGTCTTTTCTACAAATACTTTAACAGTAACAGCTCCAACGAGCTTCTTTCGCTAGTTCCCAAACTGCATGGATTTAAGCGTGCTACTAGGCTGGCATCACGGTCCCAAACTTTCACTGTCGAAACGGTTAAATGTGGTCGTCTCTTCATGTCTCGCTTCATGTATAATAGCTTCATGTCTCGCACCTCCTGCCTGTGGAATTCCCTTCCTATTACTTGTTTCCCTGATAGCTCTAATCTCCGACTATTCAAATGTAATGTCAGTCGACATCTCCAGATACCCTGACCTATTCCTTGTCCTTCTCTTCATTCTTGCCCTCATTACGCCTCTTTACCTTTGCTCCCACTCTGTAACTCTTTGCGTGCTAGTGGCATTCCGCCTTGTGAAATGCTTCAAATAAAAAAAAAAAATACTAGACTAGCGGCAAGGCTTCATCGTTTTACAGTCAAAATAGCTAGTTATATGCTAACAGCTACTTTTCTCGAACTTCTCACTTGTGGAACTTTCTTCTGGCTTCTTCCTAACCTGTCAAATTTGTTCTTCCACCAATTGGATACAATGTCAGCCATTATCTTTTTTCCTCTTAATTTCTGTTCGTATATTGTTCTTGCCCCTTAATAAGGTTTTTCTTATATTTTTTCACCTTCAGTAACCTCTTGCGTATTACTGAAGCTGTTTTTTTGGTTGGGATGAAATGATTAACAACAAAAAGAAAAAAAATAAAAAATAAAAAAATAAAAAAAGGCATTTTAATTGGGCAAATAAATTAGATATACATTATAAATCTTGCCTTCAAAAAGATGACAAGTATAGAAATAATTTGTCACAGAATACATTAAATTAAAAGAAAATTCCTGTTCAGTAAGATATGTGGATATCAGGCGAATTTAGTCAGCGTTATGGGATTACCTTTCGCAGAAATATTCATCAGATCTCTGTAGCTAGCAAATATGTTCACAAGCTATTGAGTCTCCAACAAGGGAACGTAAATATCAATTTTAGAAATAATATAGAAATAGTTTAGAAGTGACTGTAGAAAACTATCTTTTGTCTTGAGTGTCTTTGTCATTGATTCACAGACGTAGAGTGCATGACGAGAGTCAGTTTCCTGCTTCAACTTCTCAAGTTGGGAGTGAACAAACTGCTGATATATATATATATATATATATATATATATATATATATATATATATATAAAGAAAAGAACAGTAAGATATATAATCCGGTGTTCTTATAGATATTTTTATTTTACAAAATAGTGCCCAATGTAAATTTACAGAACATTAATAATGTCTTTAATTTAATTACAAAATTAAATTCGTAGCTTTTAGCTTCCATTTTTGAAACATGGTTAGAACTGTGTAGCGAAAAAAAACATGTTTCAAATAAATCAATTTATAATATATATATATATATAGATATAGAGAGAGAGAGAGAGAGAGAGAGAGAGAGTATAGATAAGAGTAGTGAATAAGTAGGAAACAGATCTTAATCTAACATGTTTCACTTTATTAAAGCTTCGTCAGAGATCAAGATATAAATGATAAAAGAATGATAAATATTCTTTATCCTATTATATATATATATATATATATATATATATATATATATATATATATATATATATATATATGTGTGTGTGTGTGTGTGTGTGTGTGTGTGTGTATGTGTGTATGTGCGTGTGTGTGTGCGTGTGTGTGTACTACCAGACTCCAAGAGTTCAGTTGGACGCCCACTCTCATGCTGCAAAGACAAATTGAAAGACAATTTGAAACGCCATAAGTTTGATCTGAAAACCTGGGAAAGCCAAGCACCGTCCGAAAGGAATGGCATAATACATGTTTCATTAAATTAACGAGTTTTGAAGACAGTATATTGAAGCACCGTTATCAGCTCCGTTAAACTCTGAAGCAGAGACGCCATCAAAATCCTGCTTTAACAAATGTCATCTGTCAGTGTGGCTTTGTCGCCTGCAGCAACACTGGGCTAGTATCACACTTAAGAAAGCACAAATGAAATATGTATGTCCCTTATCTGATTTTCTCCACAATAGCCCTTGCTAGAATGCATAAGTATAAAAGGAAAGGCACTATCCAATGCTGAACCTCAGGCGACAGTCTGTGTCATGTTAAACGCAAAATGTAAATGTAATTATAAAAGTGAAGATTGACTTCAGTGTCCACTTTCATATTTACATACACTCTATCACTGATATTGAGCACTTTAACCATAAATATAGCATACCTTAAAAATGTGTATTTATCATATATATATATGTATATATATGTGTGTGTGTGTGTGTGTGTGTGTTACAGTACTTGGTATTTCCCAGTGGTCACCCATTTAGTTATTGACCAGTTTCGACGATGCTTTACTTTGGTGATCGTACGAGAACAGATGTTTCAATGTGATATGTGCATGAGATTTAAATTCTCAAAAGAAATCGTTTGTGAGAGAAAAGCTGGATAATTGATGTTTTATGAGAATCGGGCCCATTCTCGGCCCTCAGCGGATAGAAAGCATGCCATTCCATCCATATTAACATCACCTTGTCCATTATGCATCATATATTTTCTAATACATACATACATACATACATATATATATATATATATATATATATATATATATATATATATATATATATATATATATATAATTATTAAGCCTTGATTAAACTGATCTCAAAGTTCAGAGATTATGATACAATTTAAAAATAACATCACCGACGTAATCTCATAATCTTGTTTGCGCCAACGGACTGGATGGACCATCGCATATTCTACGTTTTACAAATGCAACCGTCTTTCACGTGGGTCTCTTCAAATTTCAAAATATCATGTAACAATAATTTTGGCAGATTACCGTTGAGTTCAAAGTGTTTTATGATGCTGAAAAGTTGATGCCAGATGTTTCTTATCGGAGTGAAGGATATGTTTACTTAAATGTAAAGTATTTGAGAAGTAATGATTCAAAACGAATAAGAACTTCATCAACACGTTGCACGCATCATCATTAAACGTAGCGAACAGAAAATTCTCATGGGGCTAATATTACAATTACTACTACTACTACTATTACAAGCATTAAAAACATAATGCCCCATTCATTGAATAATATTTGCTTGAATTCC